GGAAGCCCCTTTGCTAAAGAGGGAGGGTGAGCAGGCACAACAGTTTACCCACACAACACATGTTGAGGACAGATACAATAATACACATTTTGAGCAGTGTCTAAACTTTCCTAAATGTTGTCATTTTATGCATTTTCTACAGAGTACTTCTTTCAGAGTAATTTAATAAAGAGCATTTGTATAGTATAAATACAGACACAAAGTACCACGGATGAGTACCCAACAATGTGTAAATTAGATTTTGCTCTTTTGCCTCACAGGAAAAGGCAGTTTAAAAAGGCTCCTCAAAAGGTAGCCACAAAGGGATCAGCTCTGGGTTTTCCTCTCAATAAAGACTTAGCTATATGGTTTCATCTAATACTGTTGAGAAAAGACAGGAAACTTTGGAAAGAAATACCGTAGGAATTTGGCAATACATAATGAAAACAGTTTCATAATCGAGTTTGATGCCTAAGTATAACACTATGTCCTCATTGGTGTACCTGTGTGTTACCTGTGTGGAAGCAGACCACACTGTATGCCTTTAACTGGCAAGTAACATGGAAAATGCAAGCAGATGGAGAGGCTACAATTCAGACTAGCACTGGGCTCAGCCCCAGCAAGTACTGGGAAGTTTCTTTGCCTTCCCACAGCAGCTGGGGGAATTTGGCTTAGAATTAGGAGCCCAGTTTAGGCTTTTCAATAACAAGGGAGAATTGAAAATGTGAGCTGGGAAGTCAGTGGGAATGCAATGAAGAGTGAAAGTCCAAGGAAATATGCAAGTTAATGAAGATTAAGAATGCGATATGTAACCACAAATACATATGCTTTAAAAAGCATACCACAAACGCTTTATTTCAGGCCACAGTGAGTGGTCTAAATAAATAACCCTGAATCATGGAGCTGCAGCCAGCTCCTCTGTATGCCTGGCATTCTGGGTAGCACTGAGGTTGTGGCTCCTTAGATTTTGCTTACATCTCATGCTTGGAATGACAGGAAAGCTGCCAAACTGAGCAAAACCAGGAACCTGCGTCAGACATGATCTCACTATCTTCCACACTTGTGGTACCCCCGGCTCAGGTGAGTTTTAACACCGAGCCATTCAGTACCGTGTAGATAAATCCAGGCAAGCAAGGCACATCTATAGGGTGCAGAGCAGCAAGCGCAGATGGTGGCTGCAGAGCAGGCTGCCCTGGGGTGGAACTGTGTCTGGACCAAGTGGCTGGCCCAGATCTTCTGCTCCTGGATCTGAAACTACTTGAAGCACAATGGTAACTCTGCATCCTGCTGGATTGCAGCGTGAACACAATGTGAGCGAGCTTTTGTAAACACAGAGGCTTACAGGTTCTAATTCTGATTGCAATCTGATCATTTTAAATATTGATTTTCCTGACTTACAGCAGTATTACTGAGACTAGAGTCAAACTCCAGAGGTATGTAAGAACGCCTGTACAATTTAAAGCAGCCTGAAACAATAGGATATTGCATTTGTTTAAGTTTCCAAGTGATTTGTGTTTTACAGTTACACTACGTTTCTTCATCTTATACAGTATTGTGCAACACTCAGAAACAGACAATCAGAAACAATATTTCCAACGGATTATTTAATGAAGAATGGCTTGGATCACTCTATAAACTGAACAACTTGTACAAGCTCTGTACCAAAACAATTCCAGGATAAAACATTGCTCAACTGTCATATAATCCAATTTGAGATTTGTAAAATTAAGAGAGAGGAGGAAAAGATACATAGTCCCAGGTATGGAAAAGCACCAGAAAAACCCAGTGTGGGAGGGCTCCCTGTAGAAATCTGCAAAAGGAGGTAAGGAAAGAAAATGGGACAAGGTCAAGTCCTTGAGAAATTCTAGTTGCTGCTCATAAGGATTCATAAGCACCTTGCCAGTGTCCAAAGGAGAAGCCAACAGCTGCCATAGAAGAAAACCTGAAAACCGAGACTGCAAACCTTACTTAAGTAAGTAATTCTTAATACTTGTAAAAAATATCTTGAGGAGTTAAGTGGTCTTTTTGGAAAACATAGGACTGTAGCAGAGTCTCTCCAGGTTGTGTAATTCTTTCTCCCATATCAAACTTTTACCTCCACAACAGGGATTCCTGTCCATATACATAAAGCACCTTCGTTCAGAGTAGCAGAGGTACTGATGTCCCCACAGACTGCCAGCCCCCTCCGTCTGGCATTCCTGTCAAATCAATCAGGATTTTTAACAGATTAGGTCTGAATTCCTTTCCCTTAATCCCAAACTCACGCACTTCTGCCCCTTCAACTCTGTTTCTCTTCCATATCTTACATTAAGTAGGGTTTTCTAGGCCTCAGAAATAAATTATTTTAGGTAGCATACATTTTCAGCAATCCAGTCTTCAAGGCTTAACAAAACTAACTCTGACTCAGGAATTATGGACTGGCTTCAGTAAAACCTGCTTCTGAATTAAGTCCCCAGAACTGGGATAAAAGAAACACGTGTGATCTAAGAGCAGTTCTGAACTAGTATGCTTCTAGAAACAAAAGAAGCAAGAATAGCAAACAAAGAGGTAGGCAGGAGGGCAATTTGCGGAATATATTGGAGACCAAGGGCCTGGTCATCCACTGCCTGAGTTTTGTACCACACTCATTCATTGGTGTGACAAAATGCTTCACCCAAGTTATGCTTGATTGTAAGGGAGTATTCAAGGTCACACAGAGCCTAGACAATTGGGTGAACATTCATTGCATACAGTCAAAATAATACTCAGGCTGTAACAGATGCAATAGTAAGCCAAGACTGTAAATATCCTGGCTGTACAGCATGTAGTACAAGGAGACCAGCTGGTACTACCACAACAGAACAAAACATCTCAAACAGATTTTTCTTTCTCTCCTAAGAGCCACAGAACTCCTGAAGACCAAAGAGAAGTGGAAAGAAACAAAAGAAAAAAGAAATTAACGTTTTCTTACATCATAAAAAAACCCAAAACCAAACCATACCAGGATTTATAATTCCTGGACTCATGCCTTAAACTCTGGATTTCCAGCTCATAAGAGCAGAAATGTGTTCCTTTCTCTGTACTGCCTACCAGCGGCCAGGCAGCAATCGTGTTTGCAGGATAATGTTGAGAAAAAATGTCAGTAGGATGCAGAACTTATAAGGAATTAGGCCCACACTCACACACTGAATGGGTGAGAAAGAGTGAGGTGAATGCAGGGCCACTTTGCAGCCCAGGTAAGAAACAGCAGAGCAGGTCACCTCTGACAGCCTCATGCTGAGGTGCTCTTCCTCTCACCACTCGCAGCTGGAGTTTGGCCACCCTGAGGACACTGTTCCTTTATAAATTCAGATTTACACGGGAGCTGGAATGAAATCTGTCCCACTTGCTCCAAAGTAAATGTCAATCTCCGGCTTTGACTGCAAAACTGAAGTGCTGCATCAAAGGCAGGATTTAGGGACTTACTAAGAAGAGCTGTAATGCCTGTGTTTTAGGCAACTGGTTATCATGGTCACCAGGAGAGAGGCAAATTTACCTGCTGGCAATGGCAAATGCCCAGCACTATAATCCAGAGCCCAGGTAACTGATCCAGGCCAGTCCTTACCTCCCAGATCCACTGCCCAGAACACTCTTTGCAGGGAGAAGCCAGTGTCTTTTCTTTGACTTGTGACCAGTGAAGGAGGGAAGGGTGGCTGTTGGGGTGAGACAGGCCACTTCACCACAGCTGAGTGGCTACAGCATGTTAAATTTGCTTTCAACCTTCCTCTCTGAAGATGGACCATCTGCTGGGCTGGACTGAAGGATCCTTCCAGTTCACCCCAGAGGTGAGGCTGGGAAGAGGGAAGCTCGCTTTTTCTGGCACCGCTTGGAAAAAGTGGTTTTGACACCTCTGTCACTTGACAATGGCAGGAAGAAGTGCAGCGTGCTCTGAGGCACACAGAGAAAAGGCTGATGCTAGTCTGAGCATGAGGTAGTACTGCTGACTGGATGAGCCCGGCACAGTGACAGCAGCCAGGATGACACATCTTTGCAAAGAGAGAAGCCGTAGAAGCTTGGCCAGGCCTGGCTTGACACCCTGCGCTGGGCTGACTCCCAGCATCTAATTTTGCCTAATCCCTAAATGCTACCAAAACACCTTCTTTTCTTCTCGTGATGTGACAGTAGAGAATCTGACATGAATGCTGCATTTTAAAATTTTGCTTGGTGCAGCAAAACCGAAGACAACAAAGCAAGAGCGCTCCGATTTCGTGGGGAACGCTTTCCTTCGTGATGCCTGGGGGCTCTGCAGCCCCGGTGCCCCCCGGGGCGCCGGAAAGCCCAGGAGGAAGGTAGGGGGGCGCTTGGAGAGCCGCACGCCCCTCGCCAGCCCTGCCGGGGCGGGCGGAGGGGCCAGATTTCAGCGTTAAAAACGCGCCGTGAGCGGGCGCGGGCAGCGGGGCCGGCCGGGGTTGCGAGCTGCCGGGCTCTCCCCTGCCTCTTTCCCCCCCCCCC